AAGGCAGAAAGTCAGAGAGTAGAATCCTTCATTCATGGGCAACAGGCCAGGTGGGCAGGACTGGAAGGAGGCTTGTCTGGGATCAGGCCAGGAAAATATCTGGAGGCCAGATTCCAGGCCCTGGACCAAGTTCTCAAAGTCCCTCTAGGCAGTCACCCTTCTCCTCACTTGCCACTCTCTTCCTGTTCCTTGAGGTCAGCATCAGGACAGAGATTAAGGTTGGAATCACCCTTGGTCTTGAATGGTAGCTCTGCCTTTTAAACTGTGTGACTTTGGGGACGTCTCTGAGCCTCATTTACTGTGTGTGTGTGTGTGGTCGGCCATTCATATACTACACAGAATTGCTTGGAGGGTTGCAAGGGGTAAGGTGTGTGCAGCTAGAGTCATTGTTTTGTTAAGGCATAAATCAGATCTCGTCACTCACCATCTTAGAACTTTCTGACGGCTTCCTTTCACCCATAGGAGAAATCCCCCAAGGGTCCACAAGGCCTGACCATCCAGCCTTTGGGTCTCTTAGACCTCAATTCCCTGACCTCTCCCTCTGATAGTTCTGGGTCGTCCCACTCTTTTCACCACCCCAGAGCCTCTGTACTTGTTGTTCTCTCTGTCTTGACCCTCACTCTCAATCTTTTTGATTTTTGCATGACTCTTATCCTTTCGTCCTCCAGGATCCATTATTATTCCTTAGAGAAGCCTGACTTCCTCTTAGGCTCTCTGTTGATCCCCCTAAGCCCCTACCACCATCATACACACAGCACTTATCAGCCACTGCAATGATAATATTTCTGTGTTTGTCTGTTTCCTCTGAGTGGGATATCAGCTCCACAAATGCTGGGCCCTGATGCGTCTTATTCATCAGTTGATCTGCTGGATCCACAACAATGCTTAGCACATTGTAGTTGCTCAATAAATACTTGTGGATTGAATGAGTATGATGGAAGATTAAATGAAGTACTCTAAAGTGTAATGCCTAAGGCACTTGACTGTTAACCAGAAGGCTGGTGGTTCAAACCCACCAGCCACTCCTCGGAAGGAAGGTTGGGCAATCTACTTCTGTAGTGATACCGCCTCGGAAACCCAAGGAGGGGTCGCTATGAGTCGGGTCTGACTTGACGGCACACAACAATAACAACAACAAGTATATACAGCATAGTACACTGTGGATTCATCCTAAGTTCTCAGTGCATGACAATTGTTAATACTGCTGTTATTGTTATTGATGCTTTTCCTCTAATACCTATGGCCTCTCCAGCCAAGCAAATACGTGGGTTCCTCCCTTATTCCAGCTGCCCCTTATTCCAGCCCCAGCCCCTAGCTGGGATGTTCTCCACTCTTTTTCTCCCTCTTCTTATCATAGCTTGGGCACTGCTTCTGACTTTCTGCAGTAAGGAGGCAGTCTACAAAATTGTAAAGGGCAATGACTAAATTGGCACAGTCAGCTAGAACAGTAAAAATGCCTTAAGTCAACCCTGAAGATCTAATTCCTTTGGCAGCCCTCCCATAATTATCCACCAGCTTGCCTCTGGGAGGAGGGAAAAGGAATTTTACACATTTATTAATTTTTCTCCATCTGCTCAGAGTCCTGCTGAATTGTGACTTATGAGCTGCACTGGAAGTCTGATTGATGGAGCCCTCAATTGGCTGAAGGTCATTAGCCTGGCTCCTAGTAGGATGTTGGTCTGAAGTGCAACATTCCGACCACAGGCCGTGACCAGGAAAAGTAAGGGTAGTGGCCTGAAACCTAGCACAGTGCTTGGCACCAAGTCAGTGCTTGAAATACATATACCAGTGGTTTACAAAACACATAAACCAAGGAGCTCTGGTGGTATAGTGGGTAAGGCATTTAGCTGCTAACCAGAAGGTTGGTGGTTCAAACCCACCAGTTGCTCTGTGGGAGGAAGATGAGACCAAATACATATAGCAGTGATCAGAGTCAAGGGTTCTAGGTCAGTGCAAAAACGGCAAGGAGGCCACATGTTCTGACCTCCTCTAACCCTACAAGGGGAAGGCAGGATTACCAGCAGTAACCCAAGGCCTATTCCTGCCAGGCCAGACATGCTGCCTCCCTCCAGCCCTTTCACCAACTGTTCCTCCCAAAGCACCCACCACCTCTCCTCTGGGTTCGATAATTCGCTGCAGTGGCCACACAGAACTCACAGATTATGGGGTTTATTAGGGACACACCAGGCTACAATTCGAGTTCAAGAAAAATGCTCAGTCTCTCTCCCAGCCCACCGTCCCTCGGCCAACAGTCTCTCACAGTCTCTTTCCCAACAGCACTGATCCCTCGGTGTCTCACTCAGCAATGCGTGTCTCTTGCGTCTCTTTCCCAGCAACGCGTGTCTCTTTCAGGGGCGCGTGTCTCTTTCGGCAGCATGTCTTCCTCAACCAGCAGTCAGAGAGAGCTCTGCCTCCAGGAGGCCTCCTTTCGAGCCCGGAAGGGTGGTCAAACTAGCCAATTATAGCATCAGAACTCTAAGCACCTGAGAGAGAGTGGGCACCTCCCAGAACATTGTTTTGTGCCACTCCCAACAGAAATACTCCAGGTGGACACCTCCAGCAATCAGAAGCTCCTCAGTTGCTCATAGCAAATCCCACCTTGGAGTTTACAAAGACTTATGGGTAGAAAAGTCACACAAAGTAATTTACTACACTGCAGTCAGTCTTTGCCCTGTGTTGCTCTGTGACCTGGGCATGTCTCTTAGCCTCTCTTACAAAATGTGGGAAGGTTTTAAGAAAGGAATTCTAAACCCCACCCCCCATACCTACTCCTTTTTCCTCTCTCCTGATGCAGTGATGGTGATTGTGGAGAACATTGACTCAGAAGTTCTGAAGAACTATCAGATGTCTGTAGAGGTATTCAACAGGCAAAGAAGGAAGAAGAAAGAAACATTGTTCAGCTCAGTACAGTCTTCAGGGTAAGTGTATCAGAAGAGTGTTCATAGTAATGGACACAGATTGGAATTCCACTCCTTATTGTGAGGCTCCTTGAGCTCTGGTGGCATAGTGCCTAAGGCATTTGACTGCTAAACAGGAGGCTGGTGGTTCAAACCCACCAGCCACTCCTTGGAAGGAAGACTGTGCAATCTACTTGCGCAGAGATACCACTTCAGAAAACCAAGGAGGGGTTGCTATGAGTCAGAATCAAGTCAACGGCAGTGATTTTGGTGTTTTTTTGTTTTGTTTTGTTTTTGCCAAGCCACTTGGCCTCTTTGAGCCTCATTTTCCTGATGTGTAAAAAGGATAACAATGCCCCTTACTCCTTGGGGCTGGGAAGATAAAATGAGATAGATAATTCATGGACAGTGAACAGAGTGTCTGCAAGACAGCAATTCTCAACAGAAATTAGGTACTCCTGTTATTATGTTCTTAATAATACTGATGACATCCACTGCCTTCTGTAAGTCCTAGGTAACCAGTTCAATGAAGCACAACATCCTTTCCCACGGTGGGAAGGTGGGTGGGGATTGGTTTGCCACACTTCCCTTTCAGTCTTAGGCAGCCACCTACTGGTGAGAAGCAGAATTACAGCTGCTGAAAAGATCTTGGTTTGACTAAAACAACAACAACAAAAAAAAAAAATCAAATCCACTGCCATCAAGTGGATTCCGACTCATAGTGACCCACTCATAGCAGGTTTCTGAGGCGGTAAATCTTTATGCAAGTAGATTGCCTGGTCGTCCTTCCACGGAGTGGCTGGTGGGTTTGAACCTCCAACCTTCTGGTTAGCATTCAAATGCCTTAGGCACTGAGCCACCAGAATAAGGGGCAGATATATTCCTTCTCATTGCCCTGTCCTCACTGCTGGAGTGGGGTGGCATATTGCTGGGGGTGGGAGGCAGGGAAAGATAAATGTGAGTCCCAAATTCAGAGACCACGATTATTGTGCAGAGATGGCTGAAGGCTGGTCTATCCCAACAATGGGAAAATTAGTCCCCAGGTCTTCTCAGTTTTATTTCCTCAGTATCCCTGGAATCTGTCCTCTTTCTATCTCCATGCCATGTCTTGGTCTAGGCTACTACTCTCTGTCACCTGGAGGACATAGCAGTCTCCTGCCTGGCCTCTCTGCCTCCACTCCCTTCAGCCACGTCACTCCTGATTTTTCCCCACTGCCCCTGAGGCAAAGTCTAAACTCCTTTGCCCAGGTCACAAGGCCATTCAGGCTGTCACTCCTGCCCATTTAGCCCTTATCAGCCACTCTTCATCACCTTCCAGTCTTCTCCAGCTTTATTAACTGCCTTCCCCTCTCACTTTCATCTCCCCAGCCACGTTTCCTGGTGTCATCTCCCCATAAACTACGTGTACTTGAAGTCTGTCTTGCAGTCTATACCTGGGGAATCCACACGAAGATGGCCAGGCTGTTTCCCCTCACACTTGCCTCAGAGGCTGGCTTTCTCAGCTCTCCACCCTTCCTCTACTCTCCAGCTTTGATTCTTTGCCAAGTTCCTTTGTGTTCTGTCCCCTGACTCACTGTTCCTGTATATCTGTCACATGATGCTGGGAACTGGGGGTTTCTCTCACACCTCAACTAAATCACTGTGAAACCGAGCTTTCTTCTGGATGCTTAACAATGTGCCTGAAGCTCAATGTGCCTGAAGCTGTCATTGACTTGTCCAACCTGTGGCCCAAGTGAACCAAGTATTAGACCAGTTCAATTCCAGGGAGAAACTCAAGTAGTCAGAAAATTCAACCAGTTCAATTCCAGGGAGAAACTCAAGTAGTCAGAAAATTCATTCAAAATCAGCAAAACAAACATAAAATTTAATTTTGCTCAGTGTGGGGTCCTTCCTCAGGATGATAGTCAGTAGCCCCTGATGGAAAATACACTCGTTCTATCTTCAGATAGCTGCATCCAGAGGGACATTTGTCAGTGTGTCATAGTGTTCAATGACCAGCAACAGCTGCTCCCTTCTCTCCTGCCATCGGCTCAGTCAGTCCAACCCACAGTGACCCTGGGCTCTGACTCGTAAGTCAGGGAGGAGTTGCTTTAGGCCCAGGCTCTAAAATACCTTCTGGGGCACACAGCCCTCCAGCTGTAACAGCTCCGGCCATCCCTCATATTTGTTTGTTTCTGGGTTGTTCTTTAAGAACTACAAAGAAAGGACAGACAGACATACCAGCATTAGGAGAGGCCGTTAAGGACGCAACCCTGGATTTGCACTGTGCTTTAAAACCTAAATGCCTTCACCTGTGTCAATTTCCCCACAATCCTATAAGAAGGAAGTATTGGATGTTACGATCCTGTTTCAGAGATGGGGTGGGGGAGCATGTGCAGAGAAGGTAGAAGAGGGTGGCAAAGCCTTTGTTTCTCCCCCTCAAATTCTCCATCAGCCCCTCTAGGATATCCCAAATAACAATAATGAAAAGGAGAATCCTACCAATTCTTGGGTGCTTGCTCTGAGCCAGTTTTAAGTGCCTTATTCTCAATAGTAGGAGGTGTTCACTATTATCATTCCATTCTACAGATGGGGAAACTGAGGTACAGAGAGTCAGTCAATGCTCATGGCCACATAGTTGGTAAGGGGTAGAACCAAACCACTGTGTAATATCAATCCATAATATTAATACATATATAAAAATAACATTGTGTTCAGAATACTTGTTGTTGTTAGGTGCCCTCGAGTCGTTTCTAACTCAGAGCGACCCCATGCACAGCAGAACGAAACACCGCCCCATCCCATGCCAGCTCCATGATCTTTGCTATACTTGAGCTCATTGTCACAGCCACCGTGTCAATCCATCTTGTCAAAGGCCTTCCCAGTCCACGCCCCACCAGCAGCGAGGCAGGAAGGCAAGGAAAAGACTGAAAAGGCAAAGGAGACTGGAACAGATAGAGTAGTCAGCCACAGGGATCCAGGTAAGGGTGGTTGGAGAGGTTTCCTACAGCTAAGGGAGACAAACTTGTCTGGTGGTTTGTCCTACTGAGCCACTGGTGTTTCAAACCCAGCGGGGTGCACAGGTATCAGCCCAGCTTGGAGACTGAGACAGACTAGAAGGAGGAGGAGCCCATCTACTTTTCAAAGAATTGGCAGGGGAAAACCTTATGAATAGCAGAGAAACACTGTCTGATCAGAATATTTGCTGTTGTTGTTGTTGTTATGTGCTATCGAGTCAGAATACTTAGGCTGATGTTATCACAGCTCAATTTGCAGGAGGAAAAAGTAAACACTAAAATCTACCACTAGAGAGAACTTCAGGCAAGATATACAAGACAAGTTACGCAGACCCTCTACAATAAAGAAAGGAGAAAACAAATAGGATAATCCTGGAACCCTAAGCTTCAAAGGGAAGGATTAAAAGTATATTAAATTCTGACCAGTAGAAGAAATTAAAATAGCAAATAAGGAAACAAAAGGAGCTATAGACTTCTGGCTAGCCTGACAATGTGGCCATTTTGAATATTTGCAGGCAGTGTTCTGATCTGGGCAGCAACTTCATAATTGGCTCCACTTGGTGAGGCCTGAATGAGCAACCATACTTGTGGCTGACAACCAGAAAGGTACTACATTCCCCATGATCCTCTTGTACTCTACACCCTCCTGGTGAGTGGAAGTGTGGCTATCCCCTATCCCCACCCACCTTCTGGACTGGCAAGAATTCCATCCTAAACAGGGTACTGTGATAGCAGCTGCTGCCTTGTCAGTCAGGAACTGGTCCCATGACTAGGAACCTCGCTCCCAGCCAACTTTTGGGAGGGTAGGAACTTTTTCTGGGAATGTGACACTATACCCAGTTACATTTTGATACAGGAATTCTGTCTAGAACCAGAACCATAGGCCCTGCCCACAGCTGCTTTTTGAGTCACTGAGAACTCCTTCTGGAACCAGAAGCATTGTTGCCAATCATTTTGGGACTGGCAAAAAATTTTCCTGTGTCCAAAAAAATTTTTCTGGGTCCAGGAACCCTGCCCTAAGTTGTCTTCTGGGTAGAGAGGAACTAGTTGTGAGATCAGCTGTCCTGCTACCAGGCACCTTTTGGGCTGGTAGAACCTTTTTCCTTTTTAAATTGTGCTTTGGGTAAAAGTTTAGAGAGGAAATTCATTATCCACACAGCAGTTCATACAAGTTTTGTTTCACAATAATGATTGCAAGCCTCATAATGTAACAGCTCTCTTCTGACTTCCTCCCCTCTGACCTGTTGCCCTGTGCAAATACTGCCCTTCTACTGTCCCATGATTGATTGTTCTAAGGAGGGCACCTACCTAGTGTAAGTGTTCACCTTATATGCTTGTCTATTGTTGGGCTGGAAGCCAAAGGAGTGAGTTCAATTACAGGCCCGAGGTGTCACTAGGGGCCACAGTCTCGGGGATTTCACCAGTCTTTCTCAGACCCGTAATTCTGGTCTTTATGATTTTGAGTTTTGTTCTACATTGTTCTGACTCTATCCAGGATCTCCTACAGTGATCCCTTTCCAAGTGGTTGCAGGGGTAGTTGGGCACTATCTACTTTTTCTGGTCCCAGAGTCACATAGGCTGAGGTTTGTATGGTCCACTAGTGGCTTAGACTAATAGTTTCCATGCATCTTTGATATTCTTCATTCTTCTATGCTCTGGACAAGGAGAGACCAATTGTCGCATGTAAATAGGATCTTCCAACCTTTTAATTAAGATTCCAGTCACTACTCATCGAAGTAGGATGTAGAACAATGTTTTTGTGTAGTATGTTATGCCAATTGAACTTGACGTCCGGAGGCCACAGGTCCAGCAACTCAATTCCTCAGGGTGGTTGGTTGTGGCCAAGAAGTTAGCATAATTTTGGCCCGTGTTAGCTCTATTTATATGGACATTCTTATAGCACATACAAATATATATGTAGAAATATCATCTGCCAGACATACCTTATCATTCTTACCATTCAGCCCATAGCCTAATGTTTGTTATTACTGATAATGCAGTACTGTATATGTAAACAGGTTTATCTTTATTGTCTGTACTTCTTTGTTCCTTCTTTTTCCTTATTGGTCACTTGCTTTTGCTATATTGCCTTTCCCTTCATCCAAATCAATACTTGTCTCTTCCCTATCTAGCAATTCCCCACTCCACCCCAATCCCTGGTAATCAACAAAGAGAATTTTACCTTCCAGGCATAAACATAACCTTTACTTTTTACAACAGTGGCCTAATACAATGCTTGTCCTTTTGCATTTCTCAGCACAATGTCCTCCAAGTTCATCCACGTTATGCGGTGTTTTGCAGATTCTACATTATTCTTTAGCGTTGCATAGTATTCCATTGTGTGTATGTACCATAGTGTGGTTATTCCTTCTTCTGTTGATGGGCACCTAGGTGGTCTCCATCTCTTTGCTCTTGTGAATAGTGCTGCGATGAACATGGGTGTGCATATGTCTGTTCCTGTTTTGGCTCTCACTTCTTTAGGATAGATATATACCTAGTAATGGAATGTTGTTGTTGTTGTTGTTATGTGCCGTCGAGTCAGCCCCGACTCATAGCGACCCCTCCTTGAGTTTCCGAGGCAGTATCACTACTCCCAAGGAGTGGCTGGTGGGTTTGAACCACCAGCCGTCTGGTTAGCAGGCAAGTGTCTTAGCCACTATGCTACCAGAGCTCCCAGTAATGGAATAGCTGGGTCAAATGGTATTTCTAGTTCCAACTTCTTAAGGAATCTCCATACTGATTTCCACAGTGGAGGTATCATTTTAGTCTCACCAGCAGTGAGATGGTATCTTATGGTTGGTTTGATTTGCATCTTGCTCTTGCTAATGATAGTGAAGGAGCTCTGGTAGCATAGTGCCTAATGCACTTGACTGCTAACCAGAAGGCTGGCGGTTCAAGCCC